TCCACCTTGAAGTCCAAGTAGGATAGCAATCACCTTCAGGTCACCACAAATCGACCATTGATGTTCATCATAGTTAATGCATCTTAAAAGCTCTTTCAAGTTTTCATACGTTTCTTTCATTGAAACTGCGTAAGCATTATTCGATTATAATCGAATGGTGATTGGTCTGATTCCCACAATAGTGAGTCCAAATCGAGTTGATCAATAAGAGCACTGGGTTGGCTTTCTTCCAGCAGGAGCTTCAAATCTCTGAGGGCTTTGAAATCTTCTGGAGTATTGCGACCAATCAAAAGATTCAGTGGCATGGCCGGATGAGCACATCTTAGGGAAAGTTTTCTGGCAAAAAGCTTTAAATCCTTAACTAATTTAAACTCGTCTGTATTTTGATGTGGACAGAAGCTTAGTCCATGAGAGAGAATATTTTCTTCGATTGGGTCAAGGCATATAAAGACAAATTGACAATATTCAATGTAGAGGTCAAGTTCAGGTCAGGTAACGTTCTATCCCCCTGACCCGATCTCCCCCTTTGGGGCCTAAAAAAAGCAGTAGAATGTGACTGGTGCATGCCAAAAGGAAAAAAATCTATACTGACTAACGGTGCTGGATGACTCTGACAAAGAAGATTCAGACTCACCTGCTATTGCACCCTACAAGAGAGGGTCGTGTGATAGGACTTTTTGACTCACTCATGTGTTCTCCTGTAAGGATACGGGGTGAGTATCCAGAGAACGTTTTTTATTTTGTTGTTCTAAAGAACCTTTTCTATTATACTTTCTTTTAAGACGACCTTGTCCCCTGTTTGGAGTATAATACATTCAAAGAGAGGAGGAGGAGTCAGAGTCTGTATTTTTGAAATGTGATACTTCTAAGGTGTCCTTTGTAGTGTGGTGATAGCGCCGCCTCTGGAGATTCATGTTCTAAGGTGTCCTGTGTAGTGTGGTGATAGCGCCGCCTCTGGAGGTTCATGTTCTAAGGTGTCCTGTGTAGTGTGGTGATAGCGCCTCCTCTGGAGGTTCATGTTCTAAGGTGTCCTGTGTAGTGTGGTGATAGCGCCTCCTCTGGAGGATCATGTTCTAAGGTGTCCTGTGTAGTGTGGTGATAGCGCCTCTTCTGGAGGATCATGTTCTAAGGTGTCCTGTGTAGTGTGGTGATAGTGCCTCCTCTGGAGGTTCGTGTATTGAGCGGTAGTCCACCTATATGCTTTCCCTTCTAAAAACGCTGTTTTATCACCCCAAAATGTATTCTTTTCCGTTGATATGTGTTTATTCAAATCTGCTAGTTTCCTCTCCAAATCAAAATACAATGAAAGTGTTTTGAATGCAGATAACAATCTCTCTGCATTTCCAATATCCTTCTCCAATGATAACATCTGTTTATTATATTCCATAGCCAATATGGACATCATTTGCTGTGAGCATGATTGTAGGCTTTCCTCCCGTTCCGTCTTGAATTCCTCACTTATTTTTTCAGTGTTGGGAAAGATCTGGATCCTCCACCCAAGTGGGTTGATTTATCTCTCGGGCATACTTATTGAATGTTTTAATATGCCAAAAAAGTGCCGATTTCTTTTCCAAGAGCTTTCCCAACCTCAAAAACAGCGAATACGTTTCTGTTTCAGTTTGTTCCTTCTGGGAAAAGTCCGCCTGATAAGAAGACATGAAATGTAGCCATTCTTGACCCCGGAACTTACTCATATTGATGGATCCACAATCCCATTCCAACAAATGTAACACTTCAATGGCAGAGGATGTGCACTGTACAGAGGGAAACATGTAAATAATATTCTTTGTAATGTGTAAACGATGATCGCGTTCCTTCATTTTATATTTAATAAAAGCTCTTTTCTTATTATCTATCGCTTTTGTAACTTTGGCCTTAAGCCACATAGGTTGGATTTTTAGCCTTTTATACTTGTTGCCCATGGGAATATATTTTGCAATGTGTTCACATACAGTTTTTTTGAAGAACTCCCATTTCTGTGTTGTGTTCATCGATGTCAATATTCCCTCCCAGTCTAAGTCTTGGAGAGCAGCTCTCAGCCTTGGAGAATTAGCTCTCTTAAAGTTGAGCGATTTTTATTTTTCCCGTATGTGCTCGCTGTTTACAGCTAACAATAAATGAAATCATGTTATGGTCACTGCTACCCGGATGTTCTTTTATATGGACATTCGTAATAAGCTCTGCATGGTGAATGACCAGGTCCAGCAGAGCATCATTCCCTAGTTGGGGCCTCTATGAACTGTACCATAAAATTGTCCTTTAGTAGGTTTAAAAATGTTTGCCCTTTAACTATTCCTGCAGTACCATTACTCCGGTCAATTCCCAGGTAGTTACCACCCCCCATTAATATCACTGTCCCAGCCCTTGCAGCACTTTCCATCTGTGCAAAGAGCTGAGTCTCCACCTCCTCATTAACACTGGGAGGCCTATAACAAACTCTAATGATGACCTTTGTAGTACCGCCCCCCATGTGCAGTTCCACCCATAATACTTCATCCTCATCACACTCTCTCCATCAACTAGGTCCTCTTTCACACTCGCTCTGAGATCACTTCTCACATAGAGACAGACACCACCACCTTTCCTATTTCCCCCGTCTCTCCGAAAGAGAACCTAGCCAGGAATATGAATGGCCCAGTCATGTGAGGAATGAAGCCAAGATTCAGCAATACCAATTCAATCCTAGTTCTCTTCATGCACCAAACCTTCCAACTCACCTATTGTGCTGGGCAGACTTCTGGCATTGGCGCACAAACACTTTCATTCACTGACACCTTGTTCATTCACTGACACCTTGTTCACACGGACACCTGTCCATTTTTGTGGATATTTTTTTTTTTATTTTCATACAAATGGTACCAATTCCAGTGGTTGTTTGTAAATGGGAACCTTCTTATCATCTGCCATAGACTTCCCCCCATCTTTCCCCATTACACCCACCAATAAGTACTGACCCCTGTCTGATCTATCTACCCCATTATAATCTAATTCTCCCTCCCCCATCCTAGTTTATATACTCCTCCTGCCTTCCCATAAACCCCTCCCCCAGCACAGCAGACTCCCCTTCCATTTAGGTGCAGACCATCTCTAGCATATAGGCTGCACCCCAATGAGAAGTCAGCTCAGTGCTCTAGGTCAGGACTCATCAAAGTAGACGGGTTGTGCTACAACTCCCCGCAGTTGTAACACAATTGTCCAGTATTTAGGTCTCATTACAGCATCCTGGTTTTAGCTATGATGCAGCAGCAGTCTCTGGGTAGAGACCAAATATGATTTAAGCCAGCCAAACCTGCAGTCTCATGCTTATGATAACATGTGTAATACGTGTTCAAGCTCCCTGTCTGTCCTGCTCTGCTGTTTGGATTCCTCTGTTTATGACCTTGGATCAGATATCAACTACTCTCTGAACTCTGCCTGTCTTTTGACTAGGAATTGGACCCTGATTACTCTGAATATTGCCTGCCTTGTCAATCAAATGTTGCCAAACACAACAGCGCTCAAATCTTGGTGCTTCACAATTTCACACGGTATCTGTCACTTGATGAAGTGCAGCCCTCCACAGATGGGGGAATCTGGGAACTGTCAAAGACAACACACAAGAGGGTGCATTACCATAATATCAATTTTATTAAAAGATAGATCACAAATGGAATCTCACAAGCCGACCGTAAAAACAGACAGAGCCAGATCTTCAGTCCCAGACAATGGGGTCCTGTCCCAAATACTGCCCGGTTGGGAAAACTGATGCGTTTCTGGACCTGGCCTGTCATTGAACCATTCTGCCTGTCTGACAATCACAAATACCCTTTGCCTTGTACCTGGCCTGTCATTGAACCATTCTGCCTGTCTGACAATCACAAATACCCTTTGCTGGGCTCAGTTTGCACCTGCCCTGGTGTGGTAGCCAGGCACTATAGCATTGTGTATCAGTCCTGGAGGCAACCGAGTACCAGTAGGCCTGCCTGCCTTATGGGAAAGGGGCTGCTATAGGTAAGGACCACAGAAGCCAGATATAGTGTCTGACCACCTGGGTTAGAGGTAAGTGTGACAAGACCTCCAAGTGTTTGTGAAATCTCCCACCACAAAATGTACTCAGCCAATGACAGGGCAGGACTCCATTTTTATTCTTCTCCTGCTATCAATGGCCAACCCGGTCCCACACTTCATCCATGTCTTTGGTGACCTCTGATCTCCTTATGAACTGTTTCTTCCATGATGAAGATCAGCCATGGAATATATCTAAGGTGTATATCAGGGTGTACTTCTTCCTCACATGAGAGCTGGGATGTCCAACAACATTCATCTAGAAGACATTTCCCGCACTCAAGGCACTAATACACCTCCAGGGTTGTGTGGGACCCCTGATATACAGGAAGACAGGACTTCAGTGAGGAACATTTCCCTCACTCAGGACAGGAAAGTGGCTTCTCCCCCGTGTGAGATCTCTGATGTCTGTGAAGATTGGACTTATCTGAAAAACATTTTCCACACTCAGGACAAGAATACGGCTTCTCCCCTGTGTGAGATCTTTGATGTGTGTAAAGATTGGACTTCACTGAAAAAAACATTTCCCGCACTCAGGACAGGAATATGACTTCTCCCCTGTGTGAGATCTTTGATGTGTGTAAAAGATTTGAACTTCACTGAAAAACATTTCCCGCACTCAGGACAGGAATACGGCTTCTCCCCTGTGTGAGATCTTTGATGCGAGTAACGACTGGACTTCTGTGAAAAACATTTTCTGCACTCAGGGCAAGAATACGGCTTCTCTCCCGTGTGAGATCTTTGATGTATGCAAAGATGGGACTTCACTGAAAAACATTTCCCACACTCAGGACAGGGATATGGCTTCTCTCCCCGTGTGAGATCTCTGATGTATGTGAAGACTGGACTTCACTGAAAAAGATTTCCTGCACTCAGGACAGGAATACGGCTTCTCCCCAGTATGAGATCTCTGATGTGTGTGAAGACTGGATTTGTCTAAAAAACATTTCCCACACTCAGGACAGGAATATGGCTTCTCCCCCGTGTGAGATCTCTGGTGTCTGTAAAGATAGGACTTTGTTGAAAAACATTTCCCGCACTCAAGACAGGAAAACGGCTTGTCTGCCCTGTGTGTGAGATCTTTTATGTAGCTCAAGATGGGATTTATAATGGAAACCCTTCTCGCACTCACTACAAAAGCTCTTCACTGTTGGAAGGCCGGCCCGGTCCCACACAGTCTGAGGTTCCTCAGGATACGAGGAATCCGATGGTCCATCTACACTGGGTGGTGCCAGATGGACATTGGAGGGAGCCGGGTTTTCTCCTGGACTATACTGTGTGATGTCCTCATCTTCTACTTTCCAGTCTGGAGACAAAGTGAGACAATCCTCGGAGGTTTTCCTCATCTCCCGGCCATGGACTAAAATACAAAGACAAAGAGGATTACTAGACAGGAGCTGATTGGTTCCCCCAAACCAGGACTCCACCCACATCAGGCAGCTTGGTCTCTGAGGAGCTTACAATTCCACCCTCAAGGGAACTAGGAAATGGCTCCTCTGATCTCCTACCAGGTCATTTCTTTATTCATGGACCTTAGTCAGTGAGGAAACAACCAGAACTGTCTTTTATAGGAGGGACAGTGATGAGGGGATTATAGGACGAGGGTCCCCACCCCCTCTATCACTCATCGCCATCTTCCCAACACAAGAAGTACTGCACTTCCTTATTTAGTCCATGATTTAGTCATGAAGAACAGCGGGGCTGAGCCCCACCAGAGGTCAAAGAGTGAGGATGGGGGGAGAACAACCAAGATGAAGACCTGACCACCATTTGGGGTATTGACTCCTCCCTCATTATCACTTTCTGTTTAAGGGTCCAAAGTTGGAGGATGTTATCACATTATTATCACCATGTAAAAGTCTGTGCTCCAATCACATCATCTGATATAAAATGTCCAGCTGGGAGGAAATGGGTGTAACAAAAGAGAATCCATATTATGTGTATATATAGCAGTGGGGGGAAGGGGAGAGCAGAAGTCAGGACTATGTAATGTACAACATAGAGTATATAGTGCAGGGGTCAGGAGTATGGAATGTACAATATAAATTATACAGTGTAACGGTCAGGACTCATAATATTCAGCAATCAGTGGTGGCCTAGTTGTCCACATGAGACAAGCTGCAGAGGTCCCACACTGCTGCCTCCCATCTCCTGAGACTGAATCCATTGTTTCTATGTGTTTATCAGATGATGGGGGATCTAGGTGGATCCTCCGTACTGCTCTCTCCTTTACAATAAAGTCTCCTCTTACCCGGTGATGTGAGGGGCGGCTGATTGTCCATCATGACGTCCTTGTAGAGATCCTTGTGTCCTTCTAAATACTCCCACTCCTCCATGGAGAAATAGACAGTGACACCCTGACACCTTATAGGAACCTGACACACACAATGATACAGTCACCATCCAGACACATCCCTTGTCTGTTACTGGAGAATGTCCCAGAATTCCCGGCACCGCTCACCTCTCCTGTAAGCAGCTCCATCATCTTCTTGGTGACTTCTAGAATCTTCTGTGTCTTCTGTCTTGTAGGGATCAGGGATAGAGGTGGGGGGATGGTGATGGGATTCTGGATTCTCGAGGATCTTGTGGTCATACGATGAGATCTCCTTCTTGTGTCATTGTCGGTAGATTTCTTCATGACTCCTGTACAGTTCTGTGTGATACAAAGAGGTCTTACCTGTCCATAATGGACAACAAGAGGAAGTACTTGGTATAGCAGAGTCCAATGTTTGGTGAAAGGATTGGTGCAAAGCTGAAGGTTTTGGTTCTGTTAGTCATGATGCCATCAGGTGGTCTGACATTGAGCTGTACAATAGAGATGGTCTGCCTCCCTCACACACAAGGGCGCTCAGCTCCTTACTATGGAATTTAGGAGGTTTTTGGACATGCATTTAAACTGAGAAATGGGGGCAGAGATGTCATTGTTGAGGATCATTTCTGTCCCCAGCAGGCTGAAACAAATGTGAGGTTGGTGTTGCTCAGGACGGGGCTGATGGTGTCACTTCAGTTACAGTTTCTGCTGGTAAACATAAAGCAGTAGATGGCAGTGCTTGTCATGTCATTGCACTAATACTCCGAGTTTAGGCAACAAGATTTGTGAGCTGACAGCTCTTATGTCTAGGGAGCACTTGGACCTTCTTGTAATTACAGAGACGTGGTTCAAGGATTCAGATGACTGGGAAGTAATTATACCAGGGTATACCAGGGCATACAGTGGCTAAATGGTTAGCACTTCTGCCTGGCAGTATTAGGGTCGTTGGTTCGAATCCCAGTCACGGCACCACCTGCCTGGAGTTTGCATGTTCTCCCTGTGCCTGTGTGGGTTTCCTCCGGGTACTCCGGTTTCCTCCCACACTCCAAAGACATGCTGGTAGGTTAATTGAATCCTGTCTAAATTGGCCCTAGTATGTGTATGTATGAATGTGAGTTAGGGATCTTAGATTGCATGCTCCTTGAGGGTTAGGGACTGATGTGAATGTACAATATATATGTAAGATGATAAATTGATGGCGCTATATAAGTACCTGAAATAAATAAATAATACACTATACAGGAAAGACAGAGTAGGGGGGAGGGGAGGTGGAGTTGTCATATATGTCAGAAATAGCATAAGGAGAACATTAATTCAAACAACAAATGAAATACTGCAAACCCTCTGGGTCTGCCTTCCAACCAGAAAGGGATCTTCCCTTAGAATTGGTGTCATATACAGACCCCCTGGACAGACTGAAGATTAGGATGACTTCTTGATTGATGAGATAATACAAATGGCAATGAAGGGGGAGGTTTTCATTATGGGTGACGTCACCACGCCTGACATTAACTGGAATTCTCAAACTGCTATTACAAGCAGGAGCAGAGATGTAAGGGAAGCACTGAATGGGGCTTCTCTAACACAGTAAAAAGTCCAACCCAAGGTGATCATATTCTAGACCTAGTACTGACAAATGGGGATCAACTGTCTAATGTTTGGATGGGAGAAAATTCTCGTGATCACCAATGTCTTTGGTTTGATATTAAATTAAAAACTGAGGGCGCATGCGCGGCCGGCTCCCGGATGGACGCTCTGCACTGAGAGCTCCGTCCACCCGCCAGAACTAACACCGCACACACCGGCCCAGGGAGACAATAACCCCACAGCTACATTCCTAAAGGGTGCCCACACCTCTCCAGACATCCCCCGCAGGAGAAAAACCCTGGGGCAGCCGGGGAAATTAACGCAATTCTTCCTGGCCGTCACGCCGGGAATCCAAGATGGCGCCAGCTGCAGCATCCAAGGAGACAGCAGGAGACCTGAGGGGGACTACATGGCCCAGCAAACAGATACCAGGCTGCGTCAATCGCTATATCCAGGGGACCCTGGTGAGTTGTCACCCCCATTGTCCCCCACAACTAGCAGCCCAGCCAAGTCTCGGCCACGACTGGACCATGACCTCGACCCCTCATACCAGGCCCTAAACTTCCCGCCTCAGCCACCTCACACAGCATTGCCTGACATAGATACGTTTCCTGCATCAGACCATCCGCTAACGGAAATTTCCATGAAAAATATTCTGACCTCACTGCGACAAGCCTTACATGACGACATTTCCGCTAAGTCAAATTACTAACGTAGTACAACGACAGGAACGCAGAATACGTCACATTGAAACTAACATGGGAGATATTATAACTGCACATAATGATTTCATTGATGCTCATGCGGATCACTCATCTGACATCGAACAAATCAACCTAAAATGAGCTGACTTGGAAGATCGATCACACCGTAACAACATTAAATTCAGAGGGATCCCTGAATCAGTTACTAGCGAGACGCTGTTACCTTACTTACATATATCAAACTCCTTATCCCATCACTTCCTGACCTGGAGCTGGCGATTGATCGAGCCCACCAGCTACCAAAGCCTTCATTTCTGTCAGCATCTATTCCAAGAGATGTATTGGCCCGCATACATTTCTACCACATTAAAGAAAAAATCATGACGGCGGCCAGGAATCCACCTCCGCTCCCGCCATCACACGCAAATCTCCGACTGTATGCGGATCTATCCAAAGCCACACTCCTCAACAGGAAAAAAATTATTCCCATTACCAAAGTCCTAAGAAACCACAGTATATCGTACCAATGGGGTTTCCCCACAAAGCTAACAGTGCGGCATCAAGGCAGGATCTTTACGATCAAAACCCTGGAAAGCAGGCCTGGACCTACTCAAAGAATGAAGGTAGTTTTTTAGAGGTTGCAAAATAAATTACCGTATCACCCAATAGATGGCTTCCATTCAGTAGCCCAAAAAGGCATGCAGAAAAAAGGGGTTTGTGAAAAGGAATTCACAGAAAAGCGGCTACATAATGAACAGAATGTGATACTCAGAAAAATTTCCAAAAATTATACTTTATTACATATAAATATTTGACATATGGGCAATCGCCCTGGTTTACCATCATCTCAGTATGAGACAATACACACAGACCTAAAACCTTATAAAATGACACCAAGACCGGTCTGGATAAATGTGCTATAAATGTGCTTTGAAAACGTGCAAGCACACGAAACGCGTTAGGGAGTTGCCCCACGATTGCCTCATACTCTGTGACGTCACACCGCACGGCCCCTGTGGACGGCTGGCGGCCATTGCCTTCTTTTGATGATTCCTGGTATTCCCCATACACAGCTGCTTACTATATCATGTGAGTAGCATATCTACTGTTTTGTTCTTTTACTCTTGTGGCTAATAAAAGTACTACACTATTGGATCTTCTTGTCGCTCTGGCTCGTTTTTTGCGAGCCCCCCCCTATTTCAAGGTTTGTTTGGGGACCATCTGGTGGCCACATTGGGAACGATTAATCTCCCCCTGCTGGTGAGACGAGTGTACACCCCCTGACATCTGGAGATCCTGTGGTTATGATATTCTGCACAGCGGACGCTAGCCTGATGACCCTCCCAGTGATCCAGCTTAAATAGACGGATGACCAGGAGTTGGTTAATACTCAAATGCGCATTTCTATTGCGCTTTCTGGTTAGTGCAATCTACACTCATTTCGGTGGGAGGAATATGGTCACGGAAGTCACCCATTTGTTCACCACTTCATTGTGATATTGTGCACTGTGCACCATAAGAACACTCTCATTGGAGATATTTATGTCATTGCAATTTATGAACATTTTGATGGGCCATCATTTAGCAGCGGTCGCCTTATCACTCTTCTTACAATGTATTATTTTCTACATGTATGATTGATTTTCAACAGCGCTGCATGTTCTGTTCATATTTAAATGTGCTACAAAGACTATGACCACTGAAGTCTAAAGTCTTTGTAGCACTGGCACATAGGTTAACACTTCCTAAAGGAGGTGTATACAAAAATTACACCATAGGTATACAATGTCATATGCTATATATATAGAGACATATGTCATAACCATGTAGGTTATATCCCATATAGGGAAATTTCCAAAAATTATACCAAGGGTATATAATGTCACATGCATGCAACACAGCGAGCACAATGTGCATCAAAAGAGAGGCATAACCATAAGCCTATATTAGGCAATAGATGGATATCACATACAAAATGCAGTACAATCCTATGCCGGCACATATGGTTGGGGCCCATTTATCTGTAATAGAAGTGACTGGTTCTTAGGACTCTTAAATGAGAAAAAGCCCTGATTATTGCCTGGATGGAGAAACAGATGCAAATGGCAGAACACTGCTTAAGATGGTTTCTTCACCACAACATGTGGACTGCAAACCACTTTTTGTTGGAAACAAGATAAGGTGCGTTCCACCTTTTGCATAAGTGGGTGGGTCTTAACCCACTATAAATAGGAAGCTGAAATGCAGGAATCTCATTGGTCCTGACGAAGCTGAGTGAGATACGCCCATCGGCGAAACGCGTTGACGTCATACGTCAGATACGTCACTTCCGGTCATGCGCACTAGGTGGAACGCACGCCGACCTACAAGGAGGTAGCCATTTTCACATGCCATGAGTTATGCTAAGGCAGCACAGGCGCCATGGAGAGGTCGGAACCCGCGGTATGTCGGCTGATGTAAGCGGTGGTTCCTTGGTTCCACAGGGCAGTACCTATGAAGGACATCTTTTCCTTTCCTACTACCCATTGCACAGGTGGTGAGTGGATTGTTACAAGACATTAGATAAAAGGTCCCATGCGATCTATATGACAATAACGTCTATCATAGAGTGAAAGCTCTTACAGTGACTTTCCTCATATTGTTTGTCTTACTACAGGATGGGGACATTATGGTGCTTCACATAAAGAAACAAGGCATACCACGTATATTTCAACAGGCGGAAGATCCATTGGGCCTTATCTTGTTTCCAACAAAAAGTGGTTTGCAGTCCACA